GTTGTATATCTGACTTTTTTATTGCAAAGTCAGATGTACAGAGAGGAGGAGAGACAGAGAGGAAGATCTTCCATCCGAAGATTGACTCCCCAAGTGATCACAATGGCCGATGCTATGCTGATCCAAAGCCAGGAGCCAGGAACTTCTTCTGGGTCTCCCGCGCGGGTGCAGGGTCCCAAGGCTTTGGGCCATCCTTGACTGCTTTCCCAGACCACAAGCAGGGAGCTGGAAGGGAAGTGGAGCTGCTGGGATTAGAACCAGCACCCATATGGGATCCCGGGACGTTCAAGGTGAGGACTTCAGCCGCTAGGCCACACCGCCAGGCCCTGCTGCTTAATTTTAATTCAGTCATGCTGTTTTATGCAGTTCTGGGCCCATTTACAAAAACTGTTAAGACAGTTTTATATGAATTTCATAACTTAGGCCCATTCTGTAACTAATGGAGTGTAAGCTGTTTTCAATTCTTTTACTACAAGGCTGCCAACATGATACTCCTTTCTGGGGTATACTCACATTCTACAAAGAGAACTGCAGCTTATGAGGACACAAACTTGCAACTTCAGTATCCACTGTCAAGTCCATCCCTACAAAGGATACACCTTTCCACATTCCCACCAAGCAGCATCACAATGTTATTTCTCTTTATCCACGACAGTTCTTCACAGCTTTTTCTGTTGCCAAAATAATGAACAGTGGTACCACTCCACTTTATTTTCCTTCTGAGTTGCAAGATTAAGTATCACTTACTGGCCTTTCAAGCTTCCACCTGTGAAAATCCTAGAACCATCATTCCCATTTTCTGATCATTTGTGTGACCATCCTCAAGAGCCCCAGGGTGTCAACTCTTCAGGGCTCGCTTGTGTTTCTCAGTGCTTTCAGCAATAATAAGGATAAAGCTGAGGCTGATTTGAAGTCCAGTGGAACACAGAAGCAAAGCCAACTCCACTGGACCTTTCAAGGTTCTTTCTGTATGGTTGTTTGAATTATTTTATTTGAAAGACAGTAAGAAAGAAGAGGTAGAAGGAGGAAGAAATCGTCCCACTCGGTTCACTCCCCAACTGCCGCAACCACAGCAGAGGCCAAGCAAGATAGCAGGACACCAGCCTCTTCATCAACATCTGCCACAGGTGGCAGGGTCCAAGAATTCGTACCAACCTCCACTGCTTAGCGAGGCACATTAACAGGGTGCTGGGTTGGAAGTGGAGCAGCCAGGCCAAAATCAAAGTTCCCTCTACCCGCTAGACCAAAACGCCACCCACCCCCATCCTCCCATTTGGGTATTTACATTAATGCTGTCCACTCACAGATGAACATACTGTGAAAGCCGTTTCACAGGAGCCAGTGCAATGGCTAACCCTCTATCTCTAAGCGGTAGCACCACATATAGGCCCCAGTTCATCCTCCAACTGCTCCACTTCCCATCCAGCTCCCTGCTAGTAGCCTGGGAAAGCAGTAGAGGATGGTCCAGATCCTTGGGACCCTGCACCCATGTAGCAGACCCGAAAGAGGCTCCTGGATTCAGATCATCTCAGCTTTGGCTACTGTGGCCATTTGGGAAGTGAACCAGTGGATGGGGGACCTGTCTCTCTGTAAATCTGCCTTTCTAATAAAAATAAATAAATCTTTTTCTTTTAAAGATTTATTGTATTTTTATTGCAAAGGCAGATATACAGAAAGGAGGAGAGACAGAAAGGAAGATCTTCCATCTGATAAATAAATCTTAAAAAAGAAAAATAAGGGTGGGTCTCAGGACAGGGCGTCTCATGCCTGGATCCCAGACAGCCGCCATGTACACATGGTGAGCTGTTCCCGGGAAGCCAGTGTGCCATTTGGTACCAGGCTCCGCCTGCTGACCACCTGGCCGGGGAGCTCTGGGGAATTGGTTCTTTGAGTTGCTGCTTAATTAGCTTCAGGTTGAACCCACTGTGCTTCTTGGACCTGAAACGGGCAGTAACTCTTCCTTTGTAAAACTTGTAATCACTAATAATGCTGAGCACCAAATTCCAGTCATGCAGAAGCTATGGCTTGGGGCTTGTCCTGCAAAAGTAGCTTCAACAGCTGGCCAATGTGTCAACTGGTAATGGAACAGAGTAGATTAGGCACGACTGAGCAAACCTTAGCCCACAAGTAAAACTAGAAACCAGGAGGGAGCAGAGGTCATGCCGAACTAGGCTCTTGTACCTACTGGTCTGCGGGAGCCAGGGACACTAAGCCACAGTGTCTAAGGCAGAGTTCGGGACAGGGGAGGAACTGTGCCAAGCTGAGTCAGAGCATCCACTGGCAGGCAAGTGATCTATGGCTGGGAACAGGCCCGGTTGGGGAGCAAAGGGGACAACCCTAGCTGGGTTGAGGTTCCTACCAAGAGGCGCGGCGCGTGGCCTGGAAGGGGGGCTGCGTTCTGATCTGGAATCAGTTGTAGTCTCCCTTGGCACAAGTGTGGACTGGGATTGGATGCACCAAACTGGCCGGACCCCAACACCCCTTGGTGTCCTGGAGGACCAGGGCAGATGTATGATGGACTACGCAAGGTCTCAAACCCCTACTGAGCCACGTGTGAGCCATATGTGGGTATGGACAAACCATGGCTGGGCTGAAACATCCAACAGCAAGAACCAGATTGGGTTGAAGGCCAGTCAGGAAAAGCCACAGTTCCTGCTATGACAGGAGGTGGACTGAGTAGGGTTGGCTCATGGACCCACTGGTAAGTGTGAAACCCGGCATTGGGAGAGGTTCTGATGGAGGAGCCTGGACAACTCCTCTGGCAGGACACAGACAGCAGGTAAGCCCAAGAAACATGATAGGAAACAGCCCAGAAAAGGCCATGGAAAGCTACAAACTGGCATGCAATTGGCAAACGTGGGGCAAGACCAGGCTGAATCTGTCCACGTCAACCACTGGCAAATCCAGGCACCAGTGTGGGTCAACCAAGGGTTGGTCGCAAAGAAGACTAGTGCACAATATGGAATGCCAAGGTGAGGTTGCCTGTACCGGAAGGGACCACAGCGCCCAACCAGCCTGAGAACAAGAAAGGAAGTGGGCAGAGCTGGCAGGGGAATAAGGGAGGGTTCCTTTGCAGGACAGCTACTTCCGCAGGAGAGCATAGGCTGGGATTGGGGGCAGACCAGACTGGGGAGAGCTACCACACCTGTGCGCCTCATGTGGACTAGATCAGGGAAAAGCCGGGCTGGGCTGATTATTCCTACTGGTGCAAACAAAATTAAAGTGGGCGAGGGTTGTTTGGGCTTAGCCACAGCATCAGCTGGAATCTGGGAGTGGGAGAGGCCTGGGAGGGAAATAGTGGGCTCATCCCTCTGGCGTTACCACTTCCACGGCAGGACATAAAACTAAGATAGCGGCTGGGGTGGAATGGGGTGTGAGACAGACTGGATTACTGCTACACTTACTGGCAAACCAGGGTAGGGGGCGGGCCTGGTGGGGGTTATAGTGGGTCGCTCCAACTAGGCTGCAGCTCCCACTGGTTTATGTGAGGGCCAAGTATGTGCTGGGCAGAACCAGGCTGGACTGCAACACCCATTGGTTCCAGTGGAAGTCGGGAGTGAAAACAAAACCAACCCAGCAATTGCAACCACCAGCTGATTGGGGCAATGGACGGAGCCAGGCCCCGTACTTGTTAGCACATACAAGAAGTTTCTTTGGAGATCTTCCTAATCTAAATGCTGGACTCAGAACCCTAACGAAGAAAATAGGTCAACCAGCCATCTAAGCTATGATGGACTATGTCAATCAGTGGATTTTTCAAAGACCTCATAGTGCTTGGAGTGGCAAGATTGACAGCGATTCATAACTTTTGCAATATCAAAACCACTTGAGCAAGAACCTCAGAGCATGCCCTCCCTACATCCGGGACCTGGGGAGGGTGGGAAAACGGGTGGGCCTTCTCCCTTAATACCCCCCTTTAACATGAAGGTAACAATATGGAAAACATACTAGTATTATCCACTTTCCTGTAGCCCTTGAACCTTCTTACCCTAATTAACTATGTAAAGATTGTCAAAACAAAACAAAAATAAAATTTAAAAAAAAAAAGAAAAATAAAGCCACTTGGCCTTACATACACATAAAAGTGAAAAACAATACGGTAAATCAATTTCTTCTGACATTTCCTTAGCCATAAGCAAATAACACAATACCTACAACGCATCCTCACTCCATGCAGCCAGTAACATCATATTTTGGCTCTCATACCAACATCACCACTCAGCTCCCACTTGGGTCAGCAGGCAAGCGTCTTTTTTGCTTAATAAGGACTACAATTCTAAATACTTAAGAAAAATCTGAACCAATAATAAAGAGTGCTCACTCTATCCAACGAATCATGAATCAAAGTCAGACTAAGCAAATGTATTATGTTCAGACTAACAAAATCCAAGCCACATAAATAAAGTTGCTCTAGGTATTTCAGAGACACAAATCTACTTAAAAAAAAAAAAGTTTGTTTTGTTTATAGAAGCACTCTGAACTGTTTTTGCAAAATAAACACTGCAACAAAGGTATCAAACCTAACGCCTTTCAGACGTCTGCCAAGAAACTTTGCCCAATCCAGAGTGTCCAAAATCTGGGCCCCTGTTCACATCATGCACCTTCTATTTTAGACACCCCAGCTCCACAGCCGATTCCTCCGTTAATTCCGCAAGGCTGGCCGATACGGTTACAGGCGCGATCAAAGTCCCAGGCACCTACCTTCTCCCTACTTCTCTACCTCTCCTTCGCCTATCCTCCATGGTAACCCACGGAAATAAACCTAGAACCTGCCTGCCTTTCTGGCCTTAACTGGGCACAGTCTCAAGCCCAGGCCACACTATTTGTTTTCAATCAACCTTCTGCGATGTTGACCCCTCCCGTTCTCCTTCCACACCTGCTCGGCGGCGCCGCTCCTCCCCAGCCCGCGGACCATCGCGCGCGGGCCCCGACCCAGGGCTCCGCACGCCGGGGGTGCAGGGCAGCCTGCCGGGGGTCCCGGCGGGTCCCGGCCCACTCACCTTTGCGTAGCTCCCGCTCCCACACGGTGACGATGGGCCGCGAGTGCTTACGGTGGTGGATAAGCCACAGGGACAGGGTCTGCACGCTCTGCTGCGAGTTGCTCAACTCCGACAGCTTCTTCTCCAGCGCCGCCTCAGAGAAGGCGGACATCCCTCCGACACCACGTTCACGCCGGCCCGCGCGGTGGGGCAGGAGGGGAGGAGAGTTTCGCCGCCCTCGTCGCGGCCTCGCCCCCTCACCCCACCCTTCCCCACGCCCTCACCGCCGCCGCCGGCTCCTCCGGGCCCGGCCGCAAACCAGCAAGATGGCGGCCGGCCGGCAGTGACGTCAGGCGCGCAGCACAGCCCGGGAGGAGGCGCCTCCGAGGGACGGAAGGGGAGAGGCCGCAGCAAGTGCGTGTGCTCCGGGTCAGGCCTGGAGCGGGAGGGCGAGGCTGGCTGGGCCTCGAGCCCACCTGGTGGCAATCTCTTTTATGTATGTCTTAGGATAGGCTGTGGAATTTACCCCCACCTTCCCCTTTCCTCCATCCCCCTCCACTGATTGCCCTTATATTGTTACAACAGTGTAAGTTCTTCTACAGTCACCAAGTCCATCATTCAGGCTGTTTAATTGTAACCTCATATTGTAGGTATAGACAATGGTAGGAAGACCAGCACCCTACTGTCAAGATCTGTTTAACAGTTTCATTGGGAGTAGAGATGAATACTGCTCTCTTCACTTCATGGTATGCTAGTCTCCGTTATACAGTTCCTCTAGATGAGTACACGTACATCCATGTTTCTTTAAGTAAGTCGAACTCAGTCCCTACAGAGGTGTATGCATTGGCATATGTTGGCTAGCCACTTTGGAAACCTATGTAATCAGTTACATTAAAAAAACATGCACCGTCTCTACAGTTTCACTAAGTATCATCAGTGCTGCAGAAGAACCAGCGCCTTTGCCCAAGGAGCTAAGGGTTGCAGCTGACCACAAACAAAGCCAGGACTCAGGAGCTTCTTCCAGGTCTCCGATGTGGATGCAGGGGCCCAGGGACTTGGACCATCCTTCAGTGCTTTCCAAAGCACCTTATCATGGAGCCAGATTGGAAATGGAGCATCTGGGACTTAAATGGTTGCATTGGTGGCAGGTGACACCTTTACCTTCTGCATCACAATGCCAGACTCTAAACCAGCAAGTCTTACATCCTACTTGTCTTGACTTGGATAATTCATCAAGGCAATAAAAGGATGAACATGCATTCTAAATAGTAATATAAGAAATTTCCAAATGGGTCCAGCGCTGAATTGCAAGCTGAAGTCCTCGCCTTGCATGCGCTAGGATCCCATATGAGCACCAGTTCATGTCCCAGATGTTCTGCTACCCTTCCAGCTCCCTGTTTGTGGCCTGGGAAGGCATTGGGCCCTGTTGCTGTCCCGCAGCGATGGACTTGGTGTACAGAGCCGATAATAACATGCGTGGATCCTGACTGATGGTCAAAAGCCAAAGTTTATTAGTGGCATCAGACTTTATACACTGAGGGTCATATGGGATAAGGGAGGAAGTATTGAGCTTATCAACAAAACCCATCAACTGTTTCTGTGCTTTTGTTTGGAACTCCTTTTGTCTTGTATATTCCACTAAGTGTTCTCATACACATGAGGTCCACTCAACTGTTCTTATACAAATGATACCCAATCATGCAAATAGTAGCCAATCAACTGTAATCCTGTGCTCGCTGATCTTCTAGGGTCACAATGCCCTCCTGAGGAGGCTCCTGCTTCCTGGCTTCGGATTGGCTCAGCTCTGGCTGTTGTACCACTTATGGAGTGTACCAGTGGATGCAGGATCTTTCTGTCTCTCCTTTTCTCTGTATATCTGCCTTTCAATGAAAATAAATAAACCTTTTAAAAATTTCCAGGCACATAAGTGAGGGAGGCACCTTCAAAAGGAAAAAATTAAAAGGCTCTCTGGATTCAAAAGGAAAGTTCAAGACCCTCAAAGGGAAGAATTGCATGCTGGCCTAACTGGTAACTAGGTACCCATGCACTACCTTAGAGCAAGCCTATAGCTTTATTTTTTTTAAATTTTTTTAAAGATATATTTAATTTTTATTGGAAAGGCAGATAGATATACAGAGAGGAGAGACAGAGAGGAAGATCTTCCATCCGATGATTCACTCCCCAACGGCTGATGCTATGCCGATCCGAAGCCAGGAGCCAGGAACTTCCTCCAGGTCTCCCATGCGGGTGCAGGGTCCCAAAGCTTGGGCCGTCCTCCACTGCTTTCCCGAGCCACAGGCAGGGAGCTGGATGGGAAGCGGGGCTGTCGGGACTAGAACCGGCGCCTATATGGGATCCCGGGCGTGCAAGGCAAGGACCTTAACCACTGTGCCACCGCGCCGGGCCCAAGCCTATAGCTTTAAAGTAACCAGTCAAAATGCGTGTAACCACATAAGGGAGACAAAGAAACCAGGATCATACAGGAGCCAATTTCCCACTCTGTTCATGGGCACAGAATTTTGGATACGAATCCACTGGGCCTTTTGGTAGCACAAGTAAATAAATCCTGCTTCCTGCTAAAGCCTTAGTGTCATGTTTCTGAGTATCTCACAGCATATGATACCACAGGAATGATGAAACCGTCTTTGAGGAGCACTGTTCAAGAACTTTACACCTATGGGCCCAGTGTGGTAGCCTAGTGGCTAAAGATCTCACCTTGCACATGTGGGGATCCTGTATGGGCACAGGTTCATGTCCTGGCTACTCCACTTCCCTTCCAGCTCCCTGTCTGCGACCTGAGAAGGCAGTTGATGACAGCCCAAAGCTTTGGGACCCTGCACCTGTGTAAGAGACTCAGAGGAGGCTTCTGGCTCCTAGCTTGGAATAGGCACAGCTCCAGCCACTGCAGCCACTTGGAGAGTAGGCCAGCAGATAGAGAGAGGATCTTTCTGTCTCTCCTTCTCTCTATAAATCTGACTTTCCAATAAAATCTAAAATAAATATTTAAGAAAAAGAAAAAGAACATGGCAACAAGTGGGTAATAAAAATGCCTGCGTGATTTGCTTGTAAGGACTGTTTCTTCTCGTTAGTTGCTGCTCTACGGCTTGAGGTTTGGAGAAAGCTGAAGGGATGAAGTGATCTTTCTCTTCCTCTCCAAAAATCTTGACTCTTCATTCTTCGTTTTTCCCTTTGCTGATCTAGTCTACTGAGCCTAGTTTCAAAACTTAGCTTAGTCAAGTGTCACCCACCTTCTGAGATCTAAATATATCTTCGAAACTATCTTTTCCTAAACTCCCAAGTCATCAGAATTCCTACTCTTCATCTCCCAATTTACATTTTTATCTGGGATTCTAAAACTTTCTATTCTCTTCACCTCTACCTCGTTTCTTTTAAAACAAATTTCATTGATAGGTTGGTGTCATGAAACACTGGGCTAAGAAGATGGTGCTTAGTATGTCAGCGTTCAAACTAGAGTGGTCGTTGTAGTCCTGGTCACTCTGCAACTGATCTAGCTTCCTGTCAACGTACCTGGTAAGGCAGCAATAGCGTCAGTGTGATGCACACACAGCTATTGTAAGTATTTAAGAAGTAAACCAGTGGGTCAAAGATCTTTCTCTTTTCCCTTCTCTCTTTGTCCATCTTTCAAATAAATAAATCTATTTTTTTTAATTCCATTTTGTTTGAAAAGAGAGAGACAGATTCCTGCATCTACCAGCCCCTTCTCCATCAGCACCAAATGCCCACAATAGCTGGGGCTGAGCCAAGTGGGAACTGAGAGCCAGGAGCTGAGCCCGATCCAGATCTCTCCATGGATGGCGTGAGCACAAGTACCTGAGCCATAATTTGATGGCTCTCAGGGTGTGCACCAGCAGGAAGCCAGAACTGGACATGGAACTGTGACTCAAACCAACACTCCTGCATAGAATGCAGAAATTCCGAGTGGTATCTTTGCTACAGCAACAAACACCTGGTCCTCTATCTGCTTTCTACCCAAACTTTCTTTTTTTTCCTTTTTAATTTATTTTGTTATTGCAAAAGTAGATATACAGTGAGGAGGAGAGACAGTGAGGAAGATCTTCCATCCGATGATTCACTCCCCACGTGACCACAATGGCCAGTGCTGAGCCTATCCAAAGCCAGGAGCCAAGAACTTCTTCCAGATTTCCCGCACGGGTGCAGGGTCCCAAGGCTTTGGGCCATCCTCGACTGCTTTCCCAGGTCACAAGCAGGGAGCTGAATGGGAAGTGGAGCTGCTGGGATTAGAACTGGCAACCTTATGGGATCCCGGTGCATTCAAGGTGAGGACTTTAGCTGCTAGGCCACCGCACTGGGCCCTACCCAAACTTTCAAAACCTTCATGTCCAGTCCTGTTTTCTTTCCCACTCTCAAATAAATGTAGCATGTCTTTCCTATGTTGTTCACACACTTGCCTGTCTTCTTTGGCTTGTATAGTAGTCTGTTCTTTGAAATGTGACCTACCTACCTTCCTTCCTTTCTTTCTTTCTTTCTTTCTTTTTTTTTTTTTACCGATTTGCTCAAAGCACCAAGTCATTTGTCATCTCTTAATCTGAGTCTTCTGTGGCTGGTCCTGCATCGTGCTCTCATTAATACATTAGTAGACTGTGTATGGTTTTGGACACCAAGATGGTAGATCTAGATGTATTGACATCAGTATTTATTCCTGTTTTTTCACTTTAGCTAATTGTTAAAACCTTAGATACTTATGACTTACTGGCATATCTTGTCTTCAAAAGAAAGGAGTAAAATCTGCTCTATGTAATATAATATATAATACATTGTGTAATATCAAATAATATATATGATATAATAGTATGTCTTCTGATAGGGGAAATTTTGTCAACCGCACACCAAAAAAATAAACATAATAAGCAAAATCAACAACATTGCAGAGTACAAGATCTACACACAGAATCTGTGTGTTTCTACACATTAAGAAGAAACAATTTGAAAATGAGATTAGGGAACTATTCCAATTAAAATACCCAGGGAAAGGGGCTGGCTCAGTGGCACAGTAAGCTAATTCTCCTTCTGTAGTGTAGGCATCCCATAGGGGCACCAGATTGTATCTCAGCTGTTCCACTTCTGATCCAGCTCCCTGTTAGTGTCCTGGGAAAACAGCAGAGGATGGCTCAAGTGCTTGGGTCCCTGTGTCCACATGGGAGACCTGGAAGAAGCTCCTGGGTCCCAACTTTGACAGGCTGAGCTTGAGCCCTGATGGACATTTGGGGAATAAATCAATGGATG